TAAAGAGGCAGGACATGGGCCAATGCTGTCGAACAACCGGTTAAGCTACTGCCTACAGATGCTGGCATTCTATATGGGCACTGGTTCAAGTCCTAGCTGCCCCAGGTTGTTTTTTTTTTTTTTAAGATTTATTTATTTATTTATTTGAAAAGCAGAGCTACAGAGAAGCAGAGGCAGAGAGAGAGAGAGAGAGAGAGAGAGAGAGAGGTCTTCCATCCGCTGGTTCACTCCCCAGTTGGCTGCAATGGTCAGAGCTGTGCCAATCTGAACCCAGGAGCCAGGAGCTTCTTCAGGGTTTCCCATGCAGGTGCAAGGGCCCAAGAACTTGGGCCATCTTGTAGTGCTTTCCCAGGCCACAGCAGAGAGCTGGACTGGAAATGGATCAGCCAGGTCTGGAACCAGCACCCATATGGGATGCCAGCACTGCAGGTGGTGGCTACCTGCTATGCCACAGTGCCAGCTCCTGCCCCACTTCTGATCCAGTTCCCTGCTAATACTCCTGAGAAAGCGGTGGAGAATGGCCCAAGTACTTAGGCCCCTGCCACCCACATGGGAGACCCAGATAGAGATCCAGGCTCCTGGCTTCCACCTGGCCCCTGCTGTTGAGGCCATTTGAGGAGTGAACCAGCAGCTGAAAGATTCTCTCTTCTCTCTCTCTCTCCCTCCCTCTCTCTGTAACTCTGACTTTCAAATCAATAAGCAAATCTTGTTTTTTGAAAAAAAAGAAAAAAGAAAGAAGCAAGACATGTAATGCAATGTTTTCCCAACGAGTGGGAACTGGACAGAGAAGTTGTAAATGACAGTTTGTGATAACTGTGGATAAATTAAAATGGACTGCATGATAGGTAATATTCTGGTGTCAGTGTGAGTTTTCTTGGGTTAATAATGGTATTGTAGTGGCCGTCGCCTTGGTGCAGCAGGTTAATGCCTTGGCCTAAAGCGCTGACATCCCATATGGGTGCCGGTTCTAGTCCCAGCTGCTCCACTTCTGACCCAGCTCTCTGCTGTGTCCTGGGAAAGCAGTAGAAGATGGCTCAAGTCCTTGGGCCCCTGCACCCGCGTGGGAGACCCGGAAGAGGCTCCTGGCTCCTGGCTTCAGATCAGCGCAGCTCTGGCCATTGCGGCCAGTTGGGGAGTGAACCATCAGATGAAAGACCTCTCTTTCTCTCAGCCTCTCTTCTCTCTGTGTAGCTCTGACTTTCAAACAAGCAAATAAATAAATAAATCTTTTTTAAAAGTGGTATTATAATTATGTTGGAGAATATGTGTGCTCATAAAAGATACATGCTGGTACAAGGGTACTTCAAATTTGAGGAAAATGGCAATTAAAAGGTAATTTTATTTTGGTGCAAAAACATTTTTAAATGCATGCATAACTTTTTTGGAATATGTATTTTCCAGGAACTTTTTGCGTGGATTTCAAAATTTTGTTAGCCAAAATTAATTTAGCCTTTAATCCTATTTTTCCATTAATTTGTTTGAAGTCGCTTCAGACACATTTTTCTTTTCTTTTTTTAAAATATTTATTTATTTGAAAAGCAGAGTTACAGAGAGGCAGAGGCAGAGAGAGGACTTCCATCTGCTGGTTCACTCCCCAGATGGGCACAATGGCCGGAGCTGTGTTGATCTGAAGCCAGGAGCCAGGAGCTTCCTCTGGGTCTCTCATGTGGGTGCAGGGGCCCAAGTGTCTGGGCCATCCTCCACTGCTTTCCCAGGCCATAGCAGAGAGCTGGATCGGAAGAGGAGCAGCCAGGACTTGAACCGGCACCCATTTGGGATGCCAGCACTGAAGGTGGCGGCTTTACCCACTATGCCACAGCGCTGGCCCCAGACACATTCTTCTAAGACCCATTACATCAGGCTTAGCATGCTATGGTATCATTAATTCTGTTCTAATTAGTTCAGTAAAGGAAAATAGGCATTGACAAAGATAAAGCAAATGTGGAAGAAGGGACACAGAGAAACAAGGAAAAGAAAGAAGGCCTAGAAATAAACCCTCATCTCTATGGAGAAATGACAAAGACACATACTATTCAGTGTGGTATTGGAAAAACAGGATATTGACTTCCAAAGGAGTGAGGTTGGACCCTTACCTTCTAACATGCAAAAAATTAACTCAAAATAGATTAAAAAAACAAAATGCAAGAACAGAAACTGTAAACTTCTAGAAGAAAACACAGGGGAAGCTGTCGTGACATTGGATATGGCAGTGACTCCATGGATATGATCCCAAAAGCACAGGAAACAGAGGTAAAAATAGACCAATGGGAATATATTGAACTTTACAACTTCTGCGTCACAAAGGAAAAAAAAAATCAACAGTGTGAAAACTCAGCCATGGAATGAAAAAATATTTGCAAATCATTTATCTGGCAAGAGTTTAATATCAAGAACATATAAAGAGGGGCTGGTGCTGTGGCGTTGTGGGTAAAAGCTGCTGCCTGCAGTGCTGGCATCCCACGTGGGTGCTGGTTCAAGTCCCGGCTGCTCCATTTCCAATCCAGCTCTCTGCTATAGCCTGGGAATACAGTAAAAGATGGCCCAAGTATTTGGGCCCCTGTACCCACGTGGGAGACCTAGAAGAAGCTCCTGGCTCTGGATCGGCACAGCTCCGACTGTTGTGGCTAATTGGGGAGTGAACCAGCAGATAGAAGACCTCTCTCTCTCTCTCTCTCTCTCTCTCTCTCTCTCTCTCTCTCCTTCTCTCTCTGTGTAACTCTGACTTCCAAATAAATAAATAAATCTTTAAAAAAAAATATAAGGAACTACAACTCAATAATAACAACAATGAAAACACAAACAACCTTATTTAAAATTCAACAAAGGACTACAATAGATATTTTTCCAAAGAAGATATGCACATGGCCAGCAACCAAATGAAAAGATGCTGAATATCACTGATCGTTAGGGAAATGCAAATCAAAATCACCTCAACCCAGTAGGGTGGATACTAATAAAGAAAAGAACAAGTATTTGTGAGGATGTAAAGATATTGGAACCCATTTGCATTGCTGGTGGGAATGTAAAATGGGGAAGCTGCTATAGAGAACACTATAGAGGTTTCTCAAAAAAATGAAAAATAGAATTACTAGGATATCTGGCAACCCTGCTTCCAGGCATATATATAAAACAATGGACAATAAGATCTCAATGAGATATTTGCACACCTATGTTCACTGCAGCATTATCTACAATAGCCAGGAGGCAGAAGGAACCTAAATGTCCATTGACAGATGAATGGATAAAGACAATGTAGTATATAACAATGCAGTATATAAATGCAGTGAATATTATTTGGCCTTTAAAAAGGAAGGAATTTCTGACACAAGCTACAACATGAGTAACCAATGAGGACTGTGCCAGGTGAAATAAACCAGTTGCAGAAGGACAAATACTGCATGATTCCACTTATGTGAAGTATCTAACATAGCCAAACTCTTGGAAGGCCAGCGCCGTGGTGTACTAGGCTAAGCTTCCGCCTGCAGTGCCGGCACCCCATATAGACACTGGTCCATGTCCCAGCTGCTCCTCTTCCCATCCAGCTCTCTGTTTATGGTCTGGGAAAGCAGTAGAAGATGTCTCAAGTCCTTGGGCCCCTGCACCCACGTGGGAGACCTGGAAGAAACTCCTGGCCCCTGACTTCAGATCGGCGCAGCTCCCGCTATTGCGGCCAATTGGGGAGTGAACCAGTGGATGGAAGACCTCTCTCTCTGTCTCTCCCTCTCTCTGTCTGTAACTCTGCCTCTCAAATAAATGAATAAAATCTTAAAAAAAAAAAAAAGAGAATACAAACAGGTAATTATTAGGAAGGAAAGGGGGGCATTACTAGAGATAAAACAAGGACCTAACAAAACATGTTTTGAAAAATTTAATGACAAAATATAAATTTTTAGAAAGATCTAACACAAACTTTCAAGATGTGGTGGAATGAGAAGGCCATGCCAAGATGGCCGCTGGCAAGTGAGCATCAGTTACTCAGGAATGGCTTTGAATCCCACCTGGCAACGGAGCCTGCCTGACAACAGGCTGTGATTGGATGGCTTCAGAAACCACATGACAACAGAGGAAACCACATGACAACAGAGCCTGACTGATGGCAGGCCGTGATTGGATGGTTTCAGAAACTGCCTGGCAACAAGAGCCTGACTGGCAACAGGCTGTGATTGGATGGCTTTGGAAACTGCCTGGCAACAGGCTGTGATTGGTTGGGGCATAGACCACCCCTTGACCAGATTGGCTGGTCTTGGCTATATAAGCTGTTGTACTAACTGAAATAAATGAGTCTGCGGGCTGCTCGCCTCAGGCCTGCTTTCACCCGACTCCTGCGGTCTGTGTGGTGACTCTGCGCCTCTTGCCCCCACCACGCTCCTCTCAGAAGTGAATCCACTGCAACATTGTTGATAAATCAACTGCAACAAAGAAGAAGTAGAAAAATCTGAATAGTCCCTGTAACAAACACTCTACATGGGGCCAGCACTGTGGCGTAGTGGGTAAAGCCACCGCATCCAGTGCCAGCATCCCATATGGGCATCAGTTCAAGTCCTGACTGCTCCATTTCCAATCCAGCTCTCTATTATGGCCTGGGAAAGCAGTAGAGGATGGCCCAAGTCCTTGGGCCCCTGCACCTGCATGGAAGACCCGGAGGAAGCTCCTGGATCCTGGCTTCAGATCAGTGCAGCTCTGGCCATTGCGGCCAACTGGGGAGTGAACCAGTGGACAGAAGACCTCTCTCTCTGCCTCTCTTCCTCTTTCTGTGTAACTCACTGACTTTCAAATAAATAAATAAATCTTTAAAAAAAACACACACTCTACAAATAAGATTAATGCAACAAAATATTCAAAGAATATGAAGTTCTAGGGATGGGAGAAAAAAATCATGAAATTGGATAAATCCCAAGACTGCAGGGATTCGATCGATCTGATACACTGCATTAGTAGATCAAGGAAAACCATATGATCATCTCAAAAGACGCAATAGAGTTTCTATTTAAAAAGACCCATTGTATTCAGTTGATTTTTATTGGGCTATTCCATCAGAGGGTATACATGATGGACACGTCATATATACGACTATATCAGTGATACCTAATAGTTCTATGCAGTTGACAGCTTACAAGTCACCTCTGCATCCGTTGTCTACCTAATTCTAACCTCTCTCAAGTATAAGGAAACAGATTTCAAAGGACTAAGTGATTTCTTCCAAATCCCAAATATCGTCATCCTGGATTTTGTTGGTTCTTTCTGATTTCATATGCTACGTATCAAATTAAAATGAACAGTTAGCCACATACAGATAATACATAATTAGAAAAAATCCAAAAAGCATAAATCCAATTCACTCTCACATACTCTTGGCACAAAGATACAAACAAAAAATGCTAACGCTGTGGCTTTATAGTCTTTGTCATGTCAATCTTTCCTTCTCAAGTTTGTAATCTGCAACTGAACAGTGGCATTTTCCCAACTTAACAACTGTAGCTCTGTCAAAGCTAAATGAAGCAGCCTGGTGGCTTCTACTTATCAACTTGGCAGCTTGTCTTTGGGGAACCAGTGACCGTTCCCTTTGGTACTTATTTCTAACTGGTTACAAATGATCTACCTACGCCATAACAATTTGGGTTGTTCTCAGTACAACTCAGTGTGCTTTCTCAGTGTCAAATAAAAGGCTGTTATGGGAAAAATACTTTCCCTTATCCTTCTTGCTAAGTACAGCTAAAAAATCCTAGGTCTTATATGTAAAACAAGCAAACCAAGATTTCAAAAGGTAGAGAAAGAGCGGACCAGTTAGGGACCTACCAACCTGAGGAACATCAGAGCAGTTTCTTGGGTTCTCTTTTTGCCTCATCTTTCCCAGACCAGGTTCTGGAAAAACTGGCAACCCAGAAACGCCAACAGGTATAGACCCCAAACAAATAAACAAACAAAAGGCACAAGAAAAATCTAAAAAATCTGTTCCTTCTAGCCAAAGGACTTTGAAGGGAGCCACCTAGCAAGACAGTAGACTTAGACAACTGCCCTCTTCAACCAAAGATCCCAAGAGGCAAAAATCTGCAGCCCCATTCCCAGGGGCTGAGTGGGGAGCCTGTATCTGCACCCTCACTAGGCTGTAATGAGGCTCCACCAGCCTCCACCCTCACCCCAAGGTGCTGTCAGAGAAGGCCAAGTTAGTGGGCAGCTTTTTAGAAGCCATCCTTGCCCTGACCTCCCCGTGGCAGAAGCAGTGGAGGCCACAGTCAGTGGGGGAGACTAGGCCTCCAGCTCTACCCAGAGACAAGACATTTCCCCTCCTAACTGGTCTGGTGTCAGAGGAGGAGAGTGAACATCAGGAGGTGCACCCCTGCCCCAGCCCATGGCACCAGTGGGAGCCATGTGGGGAGCAGAAAGACAGAGTCCTGACTCTCCCAACCGGGGTGTATGAGTGAAGGCCTAGTTGACCAGCAGTATCGAGGCTCCCTATCAGTGAGGAACCCCAATGATGAACTGCAGTAACAAAGCAATGTCCTGTTAACTCTCCACCAGGACACTGTCACGGGAGGCCTGCCAAGACAGACTGAAACAGGATCCTGAGTCTCAGATCGTAATGCTCACAGCGCCCAGATGTCAGCACTAAGTCATTCAAGACCCAAGAGAATCTCAACTGGACTGAGAAGATAATCCGCACAGAGCAACGCCGAGCTGACACAGATGTGACAGCAGCCATCATAAAAATGCCTCAAGGAGTAATTGCAAATACATTTGACACAAATACAAGAACAGAAAGTCTCAACAGAGATAGAACAAGGAATACAATAGAACCAAAAAAAAAAAAAAACCACGAAAACCCAGCAACTTAAATAAAACTCAATGATGGGCTCAGCAGCAGAAGGGAAGTGACACAGAGAAGAAACAGTAAACTTGAAGATAGAACTAAAAATAATCTCAACAGAGAAAATGACTATGGACTGGATTAGGTACCCCTAACATTCATTGTTGAGATCCTTACTCCCATTGTTACTATATTTGGAAATAGGCTTTTAGGAGGTAATTAAGGTTAAAAGAGGTCATAAGGTGAGGTGCTAATCTAACAAGATCGGGGCTGGATAAGAAGGAACTCACGCTCTCCCTCTCCACACACGGACGGGTACTGTGAGAAGCTCACGTGCGGACACCGTGTAACGGCAACCATCTACAAGCAAGGAAAAGAGCCCTCACCAGAGCTGGACCCTGCTCAAGCCCAACTTTGGAAGGCCAGCCCTTAGAACTTCCAGAAATAAGCCTCCAGTTTTAGAGGCGCCTGTCGCTGGTGTTTTATTATGCAGCCTGAACACACTCAGATGTTGGTACCGTGAAGTGGCACGCTGCTGTGACAAATACCGGAAATGTGGGAGCAGCTTTGGACTGAGTAATGGGTGAGTTTTGAGGGGCATGCTAGAATATGGAAGTTAAAAAAAAAAGGTCATTCTGGCTCTCAGGTGGCAATAAAGAATACGTTATTGGGACTAAAGGAAAGAGCTTTTTTTGTTACAAAGTAGCAAAGAAGTTGTCTGAACTGTATTCTAGTGTTTTGTGACAAGTGGCACTTGGGAGTGATAGATTATTTAGCAGAAGGTATCTAAGGAAAGCACTGAAGGTGTGGCTTGGGTCCTCCTTACTGCTTAGCAGCTAGAGATGAATTAAATAATGCATTTTGGAGGCCGGCATTGTGGTGTAGCAGGTTAAGCCTCTGCCTGGGAAGTGAGCATCCCATATGGGCACCAATTGAAGTCCTAGATGCTCCACTTCTGATCCAGCTCCCGGCTAATGCCCGTGGGAAAGCAGTGAAAGATGGCCCAAGTGCTTAGATCCCTGTACCCACGTGGGAAACCTAGAAGCAGCTCTGGCCTCCTGACCTTGGCCCAGCCCAGCTCCAGCCATTGTGGCCATTTGAGGATTGAACCAGCAGATGGCAGATCTCTCTCTCTCTCTCCCTCTCCCTCTCCCCCTTTCTGTAACTCTTTCAAATAAATAAACAAACCTTTTAAAAATGCAGTGGTAAGCATGGGATTAGACAGCAGAAACAGTGCCAGCCGGGACTCAGGGGCACAGGAAAACAGAGGCAAAATGAAGGAGGACCATCACACCTTTCAGATCCTACCAGACCAGGTACTAGAGCTTTTGGCTGTGAGTACAATTCTTCAAGAACAGGGAAGAATGTCCCTAAAGGCAATTCAGAGATCAGCAGGGTTACCACTTGTTTCAAGAAATGGAGTCATCGCCTTGGCTCTAAGAGGCCAGATGACCCCCCAGGCCTTACAGGGGAAGACGGGAATGCTACTCCAGTGGGTCCAGAAGGCGGAGCACAGTCTGGAGAGGGTCACTCTGAAGTCTTAAGGTCTCCTGGAATCTGCCAGATCCGGCGCTTCCTAGGAACCCATCGCCCTTTCTCCTTCCTATTTTTCCCTCTTCAGAACAGGAATGTTTACCCCATGCCTGTAAAACGATTGTATTTTGGAAGGAAGGAAGTTGTCAGATTTCACAGGTTTCCACCTGGAGATGAACCTTGCCTCAGGATGAACCGTATTCTCATCCATATGATCTAGATGGTTCTTAGGTGAAATTGTAAACTTTAGACTTCAAAATTGATGTGTGGGGATGAGGTTAAGACTTCGGCGACTATTGGGGTACAAGTAATGAGTTTTGCATGAAAGCATGCCAATCTGGGGGCAGGGAGAGGGGCTGGGGTGGAATGTTACAGACTGAGCTACTGTCTTCCTGAATTTCAGGTGGGTGACTCCATTTGGAAACAGGGTTTTTAGGAGGTGCTTAAGGTTCAATGAGGCCAATAGGACTGGCGGCCTCACAAGAGGGAGACAGCCTCTCACCTTGTGCACGCACTGGGAAAAGCCCACCTGAGGACACAGTGTGAAGGCAGAAATCTGCAAGCCAGGAAGAAACTCCTAGCCAGAAACTGAGCCCTTGGACTTCCCAGCCTCCAGAGGCGTGAGAAGTAACAATTCTCTGAGCCAACCAACCTACGGTTATCTGTTAGAGCAGATCAAGCAGACTAAGACAATATAGACTGAAAAAAAGTTAACAGAGGGGCTGGCGCTGCGTATAGTGGGCTTAGCCTCTGTCTGTGGCACCAGCATCATCCCATACGGCCGCCAGTTCAAGTCCCGGCTGCTCCACTTTTGATCCAGCTCCCTGCTAATGTGCCTGGGAAAGCAGCAGAAGATGGCCAAGTCCTTGGGCCCCTGCACCCACATGGGAGACCCAGTAGCTCCTGGCTCCTGGCTTCTGATTGGCCCAGTTCTGGCCATTGCAGTCATTTGGAGAGTGAACTGACTGATGGAAGACCCTTCTCTCTGTCTGTAGCTCTACCTTGCAAATAAATAAATAAAATCTTTCAAAAAAAAAGTTAACAGAGCCACAGGAACTTTTGTGATTATAACCAAAGACCTAGCATTTCTGTTATCAAAGTCTCAGAATGAGGGAAGAAGGGGTGGGGTAGGATAAAAATGTGTTTGCAGGCATGACAGTTGAAAATTCCCCAAATTTGGCAAAAGACAAAAATCTATAGATGGAAGAAACTCAGCAATCTTCAAATAAACCAAAAGAAATCAACACAAAGACACGTCACAGTGAGACTACTAAAAATTAAAAAATATTGCATGAAAAAATTCTCTAGTAATAACCTTCAAAATTTCAACGAAAAAGAGATGATGTTAGCTGCCTCTCCCCAAGAGTAAAATGGTAGAAGGCAAGTATTTAAAAATCTTTTCAAGTTTTTTACAATCTAATACATAATGTCAGTGCAAGTCTACAGCTCAATTTTACTATGGAATGAAAAAAAAACCTAAGGTACAAAATACACAAAACTGAGGTAAACCTTTATAAATAAGCACATTTCCAGGTAACATTAATAGCTTAAAACAGACTGAACTCATCAAAGGTCTCTCGTGTCCTCTCCCTCTTCTAAGCTATAGCTCTTGATCTTCAAAATTAATGCGACTCTGGGTAGGCGGTGTCTAATAAGCTAGGTTGGAAAGACACACGGTTCCAGGCAGCCCTGCGGGCCGACGTTCGTCAGCTTCAGGGGAAGCCGCCCTCATGGGAACCTGGCAGCTGCCCCACTGGCAAGTCTGTACCTTCTGTGAATGTTCAGTCGAGTAGCTGTCACAGTCAACCGACCCTTTTTTCTATCCGTCCCATCTACCTCTTACGCACTCGTGTACTTACAACTAAAGGACAACTTGCCTTCCTCGACCAAGTCCAACCCTGGACAGCTCACTGTGAACTCCTAATTCCTTATTTCTTCCCTTGCCATTTCCCTAAAAGGCCCACTCTTCTCTTTAAAACTTTAACCCCTTAGCATTGTGCTATCCAGCCCAGCCAAGACATGTCAGCTTCCACCATGGCAAACTCTTACTTCACTCTCGAGGATCTGCTAGCTTACATACACATTAGGGTACAAGAATCTCCCCGGGGAAATCACTGTCCTACATTAGTACATTTTTAAAATGCAGCCCTCCCCCCTTTCACAGCCTAAGTACATTATGCTCCACATCAACAACGACTTCCCAGCACTTCTTTTGTATCGAAGCCTTCAATTTCTCTGTAGCCTCCTCAATATGGTACTCAGTAAACACACTCTGAGTGCACCGTGTTTATCCAGTATGAATTCTCTTTTGTTGGCCGAAGGCTGAATGCTCACTACAGACTTGTCCGTACTGCTTGGCTTTCCCTCCAGGGTGAGTTTTCTGATGTTGAGAAAGGGATGAACTCTGGCTGAAGGCTTTCCCGCACTCCTTACACTTGTACGGTCGTTCTCCAGTGTGAGTTTTCTGGTGTTTCGTAAGAGATGAGCTCTGGCTGAAGGCTTTTCCACAGTCCTTACACTTGTAAGGCTTCTCTCCAGTGTGTGTCCTCTGATGACGAATCAGGGCTGAGCGGTCACTAAAGGCTTTGGCACAATCGCTGCACTTGTAGGGCTTCTCCCCAGTGTGAGTCCTCTGGTGCTGAGTCAGGGCGGAGCAGTAGCCAAAGGCCTTCCCACACTCGAGGCACTCGTACGGCCTCTCTCCAGTATGCGTTCTCTGGTGCTGAATGAGGCCCGAGCGGTCACTAAAGGCTTTGCCGCATTCATTGCACTTGTAAGGTTTCTCTCCAGTGTGGATGACCTGATGCTGGGTGAGGAATGTGCTCTGGCTGAACGCCTTCCCACACTCGCGGCACTCATAAGGTTTCTCTCCAGTGTGAATTCGCTGGTGTTGAGTAAGGTATGAGCTCTGGTTAAAGGCCTTCCCACACTCGTTGCACTCATAGGGTTTCTCTCCAGTGTGGATTATGTGATGGCGAATAAGGGCCGAGCGGTGACTGAAGGCCTTCCCACAGTCATGACATTCGTAGGGTTTCTCCCCAGTATGAATTCTCTGGTGCAGGGTAAGGTGTATGCTCTGGCTAAAGGCTTTGCCACATTCCTTGCATTCGTAGGGTTTCTCTCCCGTGTGTATTCTCTGATGCAAGACAAAAGCTGAGTAGTAGCTGAAGGCCTTTTCACACTCATTACACTTCCAAGGTTTCTTTCCCGCGTACGTCCGCTCATGCCTGCTTACGTCTGAATTCTGTTTCAATTTCCGTTTAAAAGAATCACAATCCCGTAGGCTCTCTCCTTGTTGCTGACCCAGTAATGACCTCCGACTACAATTCCTTTTACAGTCATCGCGTTGGTGACTTCTCTCCCCAGGTTGCTTCTGAGTGACAACTTCCTGCATCAAATGTTTCTCGCGGTTTTGCTGCTGACCCTCTAGAGGAGCCTCCCCTCCCCTGGGACTTCCCTCTGGAAGTCTTTCCAGCAGCACCCCAGGGGCTGACTCCTCCTTGGCAAGGTCCTCCAGATTTAGCATCTTGCTTTCTGGTGTTCTCGCCCAGGCTGAAAGAAGCAAATATACAGGTATCATTTCTCACGTGCGGAGAAAAACAACTGCTGTCGTGGGAAAATAATGAAACAAAAAAATGTTCCCGGGAGACACATGACCTTGACAGCTCTGGCAAATAGCTGTGCAATCTTGTAACACTCCCCCATGCAACACGGTGGCAAACGAGAGAGAGGACAGCAGAGCACGACTAAGCAGAGGTGGCGCCAGCGTCGTGGTGCAGCCAGTTAGGCCACTGCTTGGGACGCCGGCACCCCCCATCAGAGTACCTTGCTCTGCTTCCAGTTCAGCTCCCTGCTAATGCATCTCAGTGAGCAGCAGCAGATGCCCTACCTATGTGGGAGACCTGGATGGAGTTCCCAGCTCCTGGATTCCACCAGGTCCAGCCATGGCCACTGTGGCCATTTGGAGAGTGACCCAGCGAATGGAAGACTCTCTCTCTCACTTTTACTTTCTCTGTCACCATGCCTTTCAAATTAAACAAAAGGGGCCGGCGTCGTGGCTCACTTGGTTAATCCTCCGCCTACGGCACCGGCACCCATATGGGCACCGGGTTCTAGTCTTGGTTGCTCCTCTTCCAGTCCAGCTCTCTGCTGTGGCCCAGGAGGGCAGTGGAGGATGGCCTAGGTGCTTGGGCCTCTGCACCTGCGTGGGAGACAAGGAAGAAGCACCTGGCTCCTGGCTTCGGATAGGTGTAGCTCCTGCCGTGGCGACCATTTGGGGGGTGAACCAATGGAGGGAAGACCTTTCTCTCTCTCTCACACTGTCTATAACTCTACCTGTCAAATAAATTAAAAAAAAAATTAAACAAAAAAGATCTTAACAAAAAACCTAGAAGAGGTGATGTGGGAAATTGGCAGACAAAAACAGAATCTGGAGGGTAGAGGGCTAGCATCAGAAAAAGAGGGTTTCCCAAGAGTTACCCACTGCCCCATGCCCCCGGAGCGTAATCACTCTGCCACCAATCTTTTCCCATTCCAGTATGTCCTAAGCACGGCTTTAAAAAATGAATCTTTCAAAAACTATCCCTTTTACACACAAAAAAAATCTCTGATTCCACTGTCTCAAGATGAGACACAAATTCTAGAAGTTAGCATTCAATGTGGTAAAGATTTACAAATTCAAATTATTACAAAGCATGCAAATTAGGAAATACTCATTCACCTGATTCTTTACTATCACCCCACACCTAGCTAATTAGCAGGAATAAAATTGAACTAAGTTGAAAAAAAAAGTGAAGAAAATGAAGAAGAGCAGTTTGGGCCAGCACCCCGGCTCACTTGGTTAATCCTCCACCTGCCGCACTGGCATCCCATATGGGCGCTGGGTTCTAGTCCTGGCTGCTCCTATTCCAGTCCAGCTCTCTGTTGTGGCTGGGAAGGCAGTGGAGGATGGCCCAGGTGCTTGGGCCCTGCACCCACATGGGAGACTGGGAGGAAGCACCTGGCTCCTGGCTTTGGATTGGCGCAGCTCCGGCCATTGCGGCCACTTGGAGAGTGAACCAACGGAAGGAAGACCTTTCTGTCTGTCTCTCCCTCTCACTGTCTAGCCTCTACCTGTTTAAAAAAAAAAAAAAAAAGAGCAGTTTGCTGGGAGTGGAAGGTAAATGTCCATGTGCTCAGACCACCCACCCGTCAGGACACCTGTCCCAAGGTCCCGGATGCCCAGTGAGAGCTCGGGGTAGACCTCATTGCTAAAACTGCTTAAATACTTCCGGGCGTAGATGATCTTCAACATCCGCTCCAACCACGTCTCTACACAAGATGATGCAACAGAAATCAGTGTTCTCATGTCACACTCAGGGAAGCGCCCGAGTTCTCAAAAGAGAAATAGGTTAAAAGCAAATGGACCTCCAGCAAGAAGAATTAAAGCCCAGGATACTAATGGAGAGCACACAGTCGGTAGAGGACAGGAAGGGGCTTGTCTGTCTGGTGCTAAAGGTTCAAGCTGGAGAACAGAGAAGGCAAAAAGGTTAGGCAGGTGGATAAAAAAGGCCTTGAATGTGGGCAGAAGACTGGAAGCACTGGCAGAGTAAGGAGCTCGCTGGGGAATCTCGTAGTGTTACTCTGCCTCAGTTACTCACCAATACGGTTAGAAAAGGTACAATTAGGCGGTAATCTAGTTTAAGTGACAAGGTGACAAGGTCAAATTCACTTCTTTCACAACATTACCAGGACCTAAAGAGATAGCTGTTGTCTACAGCCAGATAAAATTCTTTAAAAAAAAAAAAAAGATTTATTTTATTTATTTGAAAGGCAGAGTTAGAGAGGCAGAAGCAGAGAGAGAGAGAGAGGTCTTCCATCCATTGGTTCACTCCCCAGATGGCCAGAGCTGCACCAATCAAAAGTCAGGAGCCAGGAGCTTCTTCCAGGTCTCCCATGCGGGAGCAGAGGCCCAAGGACTTGGGTCATCCTCAGCTGTTTTCCCAGGCCAAAGCAGAGAGCTGGATTGGAAGTGGAGCAGCTGGGACTTGAACCGGCGCCCATATGGGATGCTGGCACTGCAGGCGGTGGCCTTACCCACTACGCCACCACGCCGGCCCCCAGATACTATTCTAAACATTTCTCTTGGATTTGTTAATTTCATCTGTGAGTGAAGTGCTATCATGATCTCCATTTTACAGTTGGGGATTGGAGTCACAGAGATGATAAGTCACTTGTTAAAGGTCACAGAGCTAGTAAGTAGCTAAGACACAGAGAGACTGATCCCAAAATTCGTCTCTTTCTCTCTCTCTCTCTTTTTTTTTTTTTTTTAACAAGATTTGTTTGTTTATTTGAAAGACAGAGTTACATGGAGAGAGGGACAGACAGATAGATCTTCTGTCTGCTGGTTCACTCTCCAGATGGTTTCAGTGGCCAGCACTGTGCCAGGCCAAAGCCAGGAGCCAGGAGCTTCTTCCAGGTCTCCCACATGGGTGCCAGGGGCCCAAGCACTTGGACTATGTTCCACTGCTTTTCCCAGGCCATGAGCAGGGAGCTGGATTGGAAGTGGAGCAGCTAGGACTTGAACTGGTGCCCATAGGGGATGCTGGCATTGCAGGCAGCCCCTGTGGCCACTATGCCAAATGCCGGCCCCCTAAAATCTGTGCTTTTCACCTCATAGGCTATGCTGCCGCTGCTTAGAGACTAAGGCAAAAATCAACTTAAAAAGTTAAAATAATAAAATACACAAAATTACTAAAATATAATAATTTTGTAATGTAAAAAATTGCCTTATCCTGCAAATGCGGGAAAGTCTAGTTTAAAGCTTTGCTTGCAAGCAAGTTACACAACAAACATTAAAATATTGGTTTCACTTCATCTTATTCTGGAAAAAGAATTGGTTTGAAAATGTGAAAAGTATTTACCCTGTAACAACACGAGACTCTGACTATACACAGACCATCCTCCACAGAGCTGGGGTGGCCAGGTCAGGTCAGAACTTCAGCCTCCTCCTGGGCCTACTGGAACCTGCAAGAGGCCCCTTCACCACATTCTCTGGGCTGTGTTCTCGCTGCTTCCGGCAATCACTCACCTGAACCGGCTCCTTTCGCCCCCAGCTCCTCCCCACGCTCCAGCTGAGAGATTACATCAGGCGTGGAAATTGGAAGCCCTGTCCACGGAAGGGAAAAAGAGTCTGGTAAAGAGCTCAGTGTTAGCTCCTGGGTCTTGAGGGATAAGTGTGCGTGTGTGCCTGTGTGCGCGTGTGTGCGTGCATGTGTGTGTGCGTGTGTGTGAGCGCATGTGTGTGTGGGCGGGTATCAGTTCTGCTTCCTTTCTCAACTGCTCTGAAGGGAGGAAGATCGATATGGGGTTTTGAGTTCAGAAGAATTAAGTTGCATGCTTTTACCTTTCCCTACCAAAAGAAGCAGCACTCACTCTTCACCTGTTGTTTCCTTGGTGAGGGAGTAGAGAAGAATGCTACAGGCCCGTAAGATAAAGGTGCTCACTTTTAATGCCAGGAGTATCAAACTCCATCTGAGGAGGGAGCAGCAGAAATTACCTGTCTAGGGCTTAACAGGAATGAAGCGTCTTTGAATCCAAGGACCCCACAGCTCCGAGGCACTGGCAAAGCGAAGGTACCACACTGGGACACTCCCAGCAAGTGGGGGGGGGGGTCGTCCTTACCCAGCAAGACCAGATTCCGGTGCTTCTCTGGCTCATCGCCCTGAGGCTGATCCAGCTGCCCCCACTGGGTCAGAGTCTCCGCCATGCCCCTGACCAGTGCATCCTGAAAGCCAAACACAACAGTGCTCACCACTGGGCCTCCTCCCAGAGGCTTCTGGCAAGGACTAAAACTGTCCCAGAGGAGGACTGGAAGGAGAGGCGCAGGACAAACAACCTCAGACCTCCCTTCTCACACTAAGAGGCTCTTACGTATTTTATAGTCCAGTCTGCCCCTGCATCAGAACTGCATGATGCCACGGGTAGGAAGGAAAGAACTTGCAACGGAAAACCTGAAGCTGTGAGTTCTCAGTTTATGTATTAATAGATCAAGTTATAGAACTATAGAATTCCTTACTAATTATATAGGAGAAAATACAATGATAAGAATAATATTTTCTGGGCTGGCACTGTGGCGTAGCAGGTAAAGCCACTGCCTGCAGTGCTGGCATCCCATATGGGTGCCAACGTAAGTCCCAGCTGCTCTTCTTCCAATCCAGCTCTCTGCTGTGGCCTAGGAAAGCAGTAGAAGATGACCCAAGTCCTTGGGCCCCTGCACCTGCATGGGAGACCCAGAAGAAGAAGCTCCTGGCTCCTGGCTTCAGATTGGTGCAGCTCCAGCCGTAGTGGCCAATTGGGGAGTGAAGCAGAGGATGGAAGACCCCCCCACACCTCTCTGCCTCTGCTTCTCTGTAACTCTGCCTTTCAAAATAAATAAATCTTTAAAAAAATTAAGATGTTTGCTATACATGTCACAGAATATGCATTTATTCAGCTTCAAATCCTTATGCAAGCTGCTCAAGTGTCCTGTCGCTTCTCACAACAGCCCTGTGCGGCCCGCTTCTACTCCACCTCACAGTCCCTCCCTTCTCACTCTCTGCCCAGGCAGCACCCGCTGGAAACGTGTGCCTGCTTCCCTTCTGCTCCTGTCGCCTGCACATTTCCTGCTCCTGAGTGGCTCCCTCCCGCGGGGTACTTTCACTTACTTCCGTCCCACACACCTCCCAGCTCAGGTTCCACCTCGGGACACACTTTTCCCAACTCTGGTGGCAGCACAGCGCCCTGTGCTTTCTTTGCTCTTTGGTTACACACACTGAGGGGCTTGGTGATCAATGTCTTTCTGTTCCCGTGACCACACAAAGCCCACGAGAGCCAAGGCCAGGTCTGCTTTCGCTCAGTGAGTACCGCACGCAGAGCAGGAACTCCGTAAACATCCATCTTTTAGGGGAATGAATGAAGGAAGCAATGAATGACAATTAGGAGAAACAAGTCTAAAAGGCCTGTTCCAGAAAAAGTGCATGGGAACAGAAATGTATCAAACAGTGAAAACACGGCAGGAGTGGTAATTCTAGCCTAATGGTGATCTAGAACGGGGCACAAAGCTTTGTTTACTGAGAGGTGGGTGGAGGGAGCAAGATATACAATGCTCCTCCAACTGTGTTTACTGCTGATAAGAAAGATGCTTTATTTTCTAATTTTATAAAACATTTCAATGCAAATGCAATCTAATTGAGACACAATAAAACAGAACAGACCCTGGGTTGCAAGCAAATCAGCGTGACCCCTCCTTGAGCTACCCTTCTGCTGTAGCTCTCCAATCATATCTATGAATACAAGGGCTCATTCTGTTCATACTCATCATTTTAATGTATATGATACAGCCCTCCAAAAACAAAGGGTAAAACAATGCATATAATGAAATACAGTTTAAAAACTATCTATATGAAAATTCCCAGCCCCAAATAAACTTTATTCTAACACTCGATGTATGAAATTGCTATATTTTTTATTTAAGTTTATGGTCCCTTAAGTATATATGCCTTACATAGGATTAATACAATATAAACATATGCAGTTGTCTTTCTTTACAAACAATGATAATGCTAATACATTAACTGGCAGTTCCTTTCAGATTATACTTTCCTAAGGGAACCTCTGCCATTGGACTCACTCAGGGCTGGGGCTAGAAGGCACAGACACACCAACCAGACCCTGTCCAACAGATGCCGGCGACTTTCTCATTTCTCTTCCCTTCTCTCTGAAACAGATCACATTTAGTCCTGGAGCTTTTTTCCCTTGTACAGGAGTCATTAGTACCTGTATGCTGAGAGACCTGGTCTGATGTAGGCCAGAGGGTCTGCTGCTGCTCTCCCAGGGTCCTAGTCAGGGCCCCCAGAAACAGCTTTTCCAAACCATCTCTCTTGTCAGTTACGACAAACTGCATCTGTGTGTGCAGCCTCTGAAAACCTCCACGGGGCCTAACAGCCTTTGGAAGAAGTCTCTGCAGATTTTCCTGCATTCTGGCTACAACAGCTTGCCCCACAGTGACTGCACACACCTTGAAGCTCTCCAACGCTTTTAGCACTTGGAGACTTTCCCCCGAAAGCTATCCTCCCCTGGAATACTGCTGTACTCTGCTCTCTACTCCATTTCTCTTGGTTTTCACAGCGCAGTTTTTATCCTAAACCTTTCTCTTATACTCTAGATGACGACAACTCTCTTGAAGGGTCTTCTATGATTTGTCTATACCAGTCGTTTTTGCATTAAAAAATATTCCTTTGTGCTGTCCAACTATTTTATTTATCTATATCTTGTCTTAGTAAATGCCATTATTCAAGGGCAAGTGCTTTTATGATGTTACATCTCAGCACAAACCCAGTTACGGTAAGTGTGCAGCAAACACTCACTGGGTTAAAGGAAGCATCGCTGGGCAAGGAGCGTTTCCTGTGAGGTCTGTGTCAGTGTATCAGGATGAACCCAGCCCTCTAGGAGTCAGCACTTGGCAACTCCGTAACAAAGGAAGAAAATACAACTACGTCTAAGAACGGAAGAAAAGAAAAAAACAAAGAAGAAGAAGAAGAAGAAAACCATCTAAACTTACCTGGGAACCAGGGGGCAGCACTACAGGGGGTATGCCATTTTCCTTGGGATTTCCAGCCCCAGAAAGGTTTGAGTGCCCAGAAGGTGATCCTAGAAGTGGAGACAGGAGCCATGCCGGATTACTCTGGCCTTGCAGTAGACTCGGACAACTGGCCACTCACCAGCTACTTGGCATCTACAGGGGGGGGGTCAACACAGGGAACCAGAGGACAGTCTCAAAACATCTTCACATCAGGCCAGTTCCTGTGCTTCTGCACCCTTTAACCGCTAGCACTGATCTAGGAGAATCTGTATCTATAACTCGGACAAGTATTGCTAAGTCTTATCTGCTGAGTAGCGAAAGGCAAACTCATCGTTCCTGTCTATCAACCGTGTGCCATCTCTGTAGCATTCCAGGCTCAGGGGAGGAAGACTAAACCAGTTACATTATTTTTGCATACCGGCTTTTCAGATGCAATACTGGCTGTCTCTGAAAAATGAGTCTGTGGGAAAACCACCACCAAAACCCACACAGAAACACCAGGATTCTCCACAAATCCTACGACTTCTCCAATCCTACCTTTCCCTATCTGCCCAATAGGTGAGATCGTCTCCCAGAACTGCCTTATGGGGCTCCTGTGAGGACAAAAGCCCGACTGTCTGACCTGTTGATCCCGGGAGTGGGGGCGAGAGGGACTCCATCACCCCGCGAGCAGGTGGGCATGGAGGTAGCCGGCTCCCTCAAAGCCGCAAAGGACTCTGCGCGCCCCAGCCAGAGGGCAGCCTTTCTCCTCTGCTCCCTCTGCTCACTCCCTAGCGGGCACCGCGCCCGCGTCACTCCCAAGTCTCACCTCTGCCCCGGGGCTCCATGGCGCCTCCCTCCTCCGGCCGGACCCGAGACGACAGCCGCGGGGGCCCACCCAGAAACCCGGGAACGCGCGCGCGCCCCTCGCCGGGCGGCCCAACGCCCTGCCACTGGGGGACACCCCCACCCCCGCCTTCTGTCCGTGCACTCAGATTTGGAAGGACCGGCCCTCCGCCCTCCTCCACCTCTGGCCGGACACAGAAGTAGGGGACTGCCAACAATGGCATCTAAGAGGCACCCAGGCCCAGCGGCTCCGGCAGACCTCGAGAATAAACTACAACTCCCAGAATCCTCCGCAGGGCGCGCCTCACGCCCCTTCCCAGAGGACCCTGCGGCGCGCCCGCTTTTCGGGCTGCTTTTCTCCTTGTCACCTGTCAGGTGGGTGGGTTCGGTTCCAGGCAAGTGCGTGCGCGTGGGTCTCAAAGAGTCTCCGCTTCCCTAGATGCCGACGCCGAGCGCGGGCCGCGCCAGACCCCGCTTCGCATGGAGCATCATGCTTCCCGCAACGGTAGCAGCCCAGGACGGCGCCGCGACCACGCGGGATGCCTTTCTGATCGCTGTGCTCCCCCGGGGGGCAAGCGCCCGCGGCTCGAGGGCTGCTTCTCCCACCTGCGTCGTCTTCTGCTGCCGCCCCTCCCTTTGTGGCCCAGGTTACCCCAGTTTACCGCAAGTAAGCAGGGATGTTTGTTGCAGGCTACACCTCGAAATAAGGAAGAGTGAGATTTCGGTCGCGAAGATCACCTCAACCCAGGAAGAGCCAGACCCTAAGAACCAGTCACCAGCTCTGCCGCCCTCAAGGAGACTGGGGCCGGAAATCCTTGCAGACTGCCCTCGAGGTCGGTGGTCCACGGCCTGGTGCAAGTTCGTGCTGATCATCCCGCGATAAAGCAGCCAATTTTCCATCCAGTTCACAGTCCCACGAGAGAAACCCTGATTAGTTTAACCATGTCTGGGATCGAACCACAAAGTCCGATGGCCTCTTCTCCAGTAGAATATCCAACTCCAAGGAAAGATTCCACGTCTCGGCATTGTTGCCTCTTGCCAGGGCACTGAGTCGAAGTGGTTATTACCGGAAAGAGAAAAGCTTTTCTTTTGTCCCCTCCTCCCTGCTGGCTGGGACACAGATAGTAAGTCATCGCGGAAAGCTGAAATCCGGGGGAATGGCCAGCCAACGAGGTAGAAGGAACTCAGCTCCTGACAATTTATTGGAACGGGGCCTGGGCTTTAACAGAGCGTAGTTGGGGCTCCCGTCGGCAGTGCATATATTAAAATTGGGACATAGCATGGTTGTAAACTCTGATTTTGTGTAAGTCACTATTGCTCGGGTTTTCACTTGTCAGGGAGCCACACTCATCTCCTAAGCTGTAGATTGGCCACGGTTGGGAGGAGAGGGAGCGTGTGAGAGAGGCACTTTGCTGCCAGCTCAGCCAGCCAGTCTCCCACCCTGTCAGTCAGCAGGATACGGGGTGGGCAGCTTTCGGTAGAAGATGGTGTGTATGGAGGGTGCCACTGGCTGATGTGTATGAGACCCCAGGAAATGCCTTTCTTGTTAATCGTCCCCATCACAAACATCGCCCTTAGTTACCAAACCACCAGCTCTCAGTGTTCATGTCCCGTCACTTCTGGAGAGCAGTCAGTGTAACTTGACTGTGCTCTGGGAAGCAGCCCAGGCTTGCCTCCTTGACTGGCCACTCCTTGCCCCCCTTAGTCTCTTCACCAGTCTCTAAACTAGTTGCATAGCATTGAAACTATATGGTGGGAGCCAGCACTGTAGTACAGCAGGTTAACACCCTGGCCTGAAGCGCCAGCATCCCATAGAGGCGCCTGTTCGATTCCTGGCTGCTCCACTTCTGATCCAGCTCTCTGCTATGGCCTGGGAAAGCAGTGGAAGATGGCCCAAGTCCTTGGGCCCCTGTACCCACATAAGAGACCCGGAGGAAGCTCCTGGCTTCGGATTGTCACAGCTCTGACCGTTGTGGCCAAATGGGGAGTGGACCATTGGATGGAAGACTCACTCTCTCTCTCTCTCTCTCTCTCTGCGTAACTCTTTCAAATAAATAAATAAATCTTCAAAAAAAAAAAAAAAAAAAAAAGAACAACTGTGTGGTGAGCAGCGTTACCTGGAAGACGTGCTGAAACGCAGTCCTGGACCGCACTCCCGTTCAGGCCATCTGAGGTGGGCCTGAGAACTTTGATTTCCAGCAAGTTTCCTGGATGCACAAGTTGCTCATCTGGGCATCAACTAAATGTCAGAATGCCCCTGAGTTCAAACCTGGGGCCTGCCTTCTTTCCCATCATTACTGCTTAGGTGATCTTTTTAAGTTTATTTTTAATTTTTTAAAGATGTATTTATTTGAAAGTCAAAGATACAGGACAGAGATCTTCCATCCAGCCAGGGGCTTCATCTGGGTCTCCCAAGCACTTAGGCCATCTTCTGTTGCTTTCCCAGGCCCTTAGCAGGGAGCTGGATTGGAAATAGAACAGTGGGACTCATGTGGGATGCAGCGACTTCACCTGCTACACCACAACACCAACCTCTCTTGCTCAGTTTCCATGCTCTAAATATCATGCAGTTCCGGTCAGCTCCTGATGTACATCTCCAGTCTTGAGCCGCCCCCTGTCTCTATTTGGTGTTTAAGAAAGATCTCTGGCCGGCGCCACGGCTCATTAGGCTAATCCTCCGCCTGCGGTGCCGGTACACTGGGTTCTAGTCCCGGTCGGGGTGCCGGATTCTGTCCCGGTTGCCCCTCTTCCAGGCCAGCTCTCTGCTGTGGCCCGGGAAGGCAGTGGAGGATGTCCCAAGTGCTTGGGCCCTGCACCCCATGGGAGACCAGGAGGAAGCACCTGGCTCCTGGCTTCAGATCAGTGCAACGCGATGGCCATTTGGAGAGAGCGGAAGGAAGACCTTTATCTCTGTCTCTCTCACTGTCTAACTCTGCCTGTCAAAAAGAAAAATAAATAAATAAATAAATAAAAAATAAAAAAAAGAAAGGTCTCTAATGTACTTACATTCAGAATTGAACTGCTGACCCTCCTACCCCACCATACGTCTTCCACTTGTCATTTTTCCCCACATCAATAAACGCCAGATATATCCTCCTAGGTACTCGGTTTACACACCTTGAAATCATCATTCCTGTCTTTATCTCATACCACCCCCCAATTCCTCAGGAAACCCTGCAGAACCTGACCACTCCTCATTGCTTTAACCACTACCACCCTGTTTCAGTGTCCATCTGCAAATGCTGGCTGCAAGTCCCACTCCTCTACTCTTGCCCTGTACATTGTATTCTCAACGTAATCCCTCCCCAATCTGACAAAAGCCAGGCTTTCAGGGGGCCCACAGCCCCTTCATACTCTGTACCCCGTAGCTCTCTGATCTCATCCCCTACAGCTTTCCCCTCACTTGTTCTACAGCAAGCACACTGGCCTCCTGGTCATTCTCAATCAAGTGACGCGTGCTTCCACCATGGAGGCTTTGTGCTTGTCCCCTCTGCCTTGCTATCTCCCCAGATGACCCATGTGGCTTGCTCTCTTCCCTCCTCCAAGCCTTTGTTCACCTTCTCCGAGGCCAGCTCTGAACATTCTACTTTGGCTGTGTCTTCTGTATCATTGTATTTTATTTGTTGGGTATCCTCCCACACACACCAGAGATCAAGCTTTATGGGTCAAGGTGCAGCCCTAGAATATTATTTTGATGGTCAGTAACTGAATGACAACACACTTTTCTCTGTACTTTGTAGAGAAATTAAAAAGACCTGAAATTAAAAATGGCTCTCATTACTTTTCTTGGCTTTCCTTTGAGTGCCAAGCAGCCAAATATCTGCACACCTTATTTGTAAAAGACACACAACTGTGTTTCCTTCACAGCTCTGCTGTTATCTACATAGACTCTACTTCAAAATAATGTGGCCCTGAAAACCGGCAGCCACCTCTCCTCCAAGCACATAAATCAGGATCCCTTGGAATAAAAACCCATTGGTCCCTAATGAGTCCCCATTGTCTCTTGCAGGTGCGTTGTCCTTGAGTTCTACATTTAGCGAAGACATCTTTTCTTCTCGTCTGTCTTTGCCTAACATCACGTCAGGAAAGCATCCTTTGGTGTGACAGTTGATATTAGACAAAGCAAATGAGGAATCTCTTAATCACCATGGAAGAATACAAAACCAAAAATGTACAGGAAAGATTTTGGTGGCAAACAGGGGAAGGTTTGCGGGACATGGGATTCCACAGGAGAGAGAGGTGCTGAAAATGCCAGGAAGTCAGACTTGGAGTGAGGTCATAAAGGGGCTACGTCAGGCATGTGCGTCATCCCTACAGGTGTCATCTCACGCCTCTGCAAGACCCTCAGCGTGTTCCACCTCAGCTGTGTGCACCTCCCGTGGCGCCCCCGTTTCCTGTCTGGGAGTGCCAGGATCTGCCCCTCCTTAACTGCCGCGGGCCAGACAACTGCACAGCTCACTTGTCTATCTCTTCTTGCCACTTTCAGGTTTGTTGAGTGTCACACGTGGGTCATGGGACCTGTCTTCCCTAGGAGTGATTGGGTAATGCAACCTAAAGGAAGGTGGGTGAGGAAGAGCGAGGGATCCAATCAGATAAATTCCTTACGCTTCCCTTTGCACATCTGTTGCTCTAAGACATGGTTTCTCCGCATAGGATGTTTGAGGACTTCATGCAGAACCAGGTAGATGCATTTGCTGAATAACCTCATAGCAGCTCAGGAAGGAAAGCCCAGTGAATAGTAGCTCACTCATTCCTCCCTGCTTCACGTCCTTTTCCTCACCTTTGCTACCTTAGGTCTGCACCTCTCAAAGCTCTTTACCCTTGCTCAGGCTCTGCTTACTCAGGACTTGAGGCCTACTCTGGGAGTATGGCTATCTGTGGCCCTGTTGCCTACACTGGTTCAAGAACAGTGGGTCATGAACAGTGACACATGGTGGAACCAGGAGCAGTGTTGACCAGGCAATGAGGGCAGAGCACAGACCTGGATCAAGTGCAGAGGAGCCTGGAGAAGCCATTGAGAGAGAAAATTATAGGGGGTCTCTGGTCCAAGCACCAAAACTTTCAAGGAAGAAAATGCATTAGTGCCTTTGTGAGCCTCAAGAATCCTTAGGATCTGTGGCCAGGTCCTTAAAGAACTCTAATATATTAGAGTAGGAGAGATGGGCGTGGGAAATTTCCGGCCACATCGGAATGAAGGAGTCCCAGTGAGGGTAGAAGGGCTGTTACCAATGGCAGTCCAGAAAAATCCACGGAATGATGCCAGGGTGGCTGCTGACTTCATAAGCAACACCCCAGGTGGACTTCTGGGACCCGGCAGATGCCGTTCTAGTACTCTGTCTGCATCTGGGAGCGGCACCTGTGAAGACTGAAGACTGTGAAGTATCTGGGGCATGGAGACGTGCCTCAGCAGTGTCTGTGGAGCCAGGGCACGCAGCGGTCTGCATCTTGTTCCTCCAGACGTTCGGAGGCAATGGTGGGAGAGAAAGGGAATTGCTGGCCTAACAATAATACGCAAAATTTAAGCCGTGACAATGGCTCTTGCTGTCAAATTTGAGGTGCTTATTTATTTCCCTAGCCTCTAACTGCCAGGTTCTGGCGTGTCAGGTATGGACAGAAGCGACATAAGCCTGACCCTTAAAAATATCTCACAAATTCCTCTAGCTTCCTATTCTTCCTTGATGGTGACTTTGGAGGCTAAATGTTCTGAGTGATGAGGATGAAGTAAGACAGACTGGCTAGCACCAGAGTTTATGTGAGACACAGGTGTTACTTGGGGGCTTGTTTGTTACTGCACAGCAGACTCCTCTTCGATAATGAAGAATGAGGATCTTGCTGTCATGGGAGCCTGGCAGGTGTGGGCAGGGCTGTGGAAATTCAGAGAAAGGATGTGAGTCCAAGAGGTGTTTTGAATGGCGAGAACTTTGTAAACAGAAAACTCACTCATTCAGATAAATATTTATTGAGCACCTATTATTTGCAAGGCACTGTGTGCGATACAAAGACCTGTAAGTCACACCTCCAAGTGCTTACAATCTAGTTGAGGAGAGAATACATGTACATAAATTATGAAATGAGCAAACGTTGCGGCATAACGGTAGAGAATATATTTTGAAGGTAGAACTGTATTCCAGACCTGGCTCTACCTTCTAGCAGTGTCACCTTGGGCAAGGTATGTAATCTCGCTAACTTCAGTGTGCTCGTCTGTAAGACCAGAGTAACAGTACTCCCTTCACAGCACGGGTGAGGGAATCGATCTGTTCCTCGTAGGACTCAGCTGAGTGTTGATCCCACGGTCAGTGCTCAGCAAGTGCTAGCTATTAGTAGTAGTACGGGAGATCTAAACGCTGGGACAGTGCCCAGAAAAGCTCCGGGAGAGAGGAACTAACAGCTATAAAAACAGCTGTTCTGAGAAAACAAAGCAAACAGCGCTGCTCTGATGTCATTCTGCCTCCCCTCTCCTGCTGCAGCCGTCAGCTGTGTAAAGTGCTGTGTGATACCTGGGACCTGGGTTCTCGGACCCACAGTGTGTCTGAGGCTCTCCTCCTAACATCTATCCTACGGTCAGACAAACCCGTCCAAAACTTCCAATCTTTAGTTTCCTACCTTCTGGCAGCCTACGTCAGCTCTGTAACACAGCAGACTAGAGTGTTTATTCAGAACTGTGAAGCGGAGGCAGGACGGGAGCCCAGCAGCCAGAACGGCTCGAATGCGCTCCGACGTCCTGTTGAAGATGGGGAAGAGCTGAATTGTCGTGGAGGTCCTCTGTCTGACTCAGTCTATGCCCTGCTTGGCGTAACGCCGCTGATGCTGAATCACGGAGGACTTTGAGCTGAAAACCTTCCCACACACACTGCATTCAAAGGGCTTCTCTCCTGTGTGAACTCTCTGATGCCGCGTGAGCCGGCACCTCTGGCTGAAGGCTTTGCCACACTCGCTGCATTCGTACGGCTTGTCCCCGGTGTGGATCTTCTGGTGCTGCGTAAGGGAAGAGCGGTCGAAGAAAGCTTTGGCACACTCGCTGCACTGGTAGCGCGGCTCCCCGGCGTGCGCCTTCTGGTGTCTGTTCAGCGACGAGACGCCGTAGAAGGCTTTCCCGCACTCGGGGCACTGGTGGGGCTTCCTGCCGGTGTGGATGAGCTGGTGGCGGGTGAGAATGCTCTTCTGGCTGAAGGCTTTCCCACACTCGTGGCATTCGTAGGGGCTTTCTCCGGTGTGGATCCTCTGGTGGCGCGTGAGGGATGAGCGGTCGAAGAAGGCCTTCCCACACTCGCTGCACTTGAAGGGCTTCTCGCCCGTGTGAATTCGCTGATGCACGGTCAGGGATGAGCGGTCAAAGAAGGCCTTCCCGCAGGCGCTGCACTCGTAGGGGCTCTCGCCGGTGTGGGACATGAGGTGCCTGCTGAGGCTGCTCCTGTGGCTGAAGGCCTTCCCGCACTCGGGGCAGTCGTAGGGCTTCTCTCCAGTGTGAGTCCGCTGATGGCGGGTCAGCGACGAGTGGTCAAAGAAGGTCTTCCCGCAGTCCCTGCACGCCTGATCTCTCTCTTTAGTGGCCACTCTTTTGTGTGGGGCTGACCCGTGCCCCAAGCTTTTCTCCCGGGAGAGGGGCTTCTTGCAGTTCGCAGCCGCCGCACTTCTCTTCTCTGTTTCCAAGCCAGCCTCTGGTGCGCGAACGTCAAACTTAGGACGCAGAGGGCTCTGTCTCCCGCACCTTTCCCTCCACGCTCCTTGGATCTCAGGCTTAGTCTCCCAGTCTGCAACAAACGGAAAACACAGATGCAGTTTCTTTTCTGGGCTAGGACCTCTTAACAGTGGAAGGAGATACTGGGATGAATCAGAAAGTTAGGTTCGATCACTACATGGCTTGGAGAGACTGCAACCTGGGAAAGAGGATGGTGGTGGGAAAGGAAACTGATTGGTGACACAGCAGTGAATAGGAAATGGTCCACTAGGAGTATGGCCAGGATAATCAGGAAAGTAGGCTGAGCGTAGAGCATGGTGATGAACCGGAACGTGAGGGTGGGAGTGGGCACGTGACCCACGGGAGAGAACAGGCATTTGATGACCACAGATGAGTAACACTTTCAGAGGTGGGAGAAAAAATAATATAAGCTAGTGGATGAAATAAAATAAACATTTAAGCAGAGGCTTTGAGTACATGACACCCACTATCTTCCACCCTCCCCCATAAGTAACAAACAAACAAAACCTTGCCGCATCCTGTTCATATTCACCTAGAGAGATGCTCTCTGGCCATTCTCTTTGCTCAGGGCCATGAAGATCTGCTATCCAGGTCTCGTCTCTTCTCTTCAACTGAAAAATCACATCGGGCTGCGGAACTGGAAGTCCTGCTCGCGGAGAAAGAAACAAGCCAGGTTGCTGCATCTGACGAAGAAGACATAATCACTCCAAAGCTTAATCCCGACCCCTAAGTTTTTCAGAGAGAAAAATGCCAAAGGCAGAAGGCATAGGCCAGGAATACAGAGTACCAAATAGTGAAACCTCAGAACAATCGTTAGGACTTTGGTTCTAAAAAAGAACAAGCAGTACTTATTCAGAAAGCTAACAAAATTCATTTGATTTTTTTTTCTTAAGATTTAGTTATTTATTTGAAAGGCAGAGTGACCAACAGAGGGAGAGAGACCTTTCATCCATTGGGTCACTCCCCAAATGGCTGCGGCCCAGGGCTAGGCCAGGCCAAAGCCAGGGACCAGGAGCTTCATTTGGGTCTCCCACATGGGTGCAGGGACCACCGACTTCTGCTACTTTTCCAGTCACATTAACAGGGAGCTGGATGGGAAGTAGAGCAGCCAGGACTTAAACTGGTACTCCTATGAGATGTTGGTGTTGCGGGCAGTGGCCTAACCCACTGCACCACAATGCCGGCCCCAACAGAATTCATTTGAATCCAAGTGTTTATTCTTCCTTGTAAAATGAATGGGAAGCTCCCAGGTTTAGCACTGGCAGGATGAAGGTCCTTGGCTTGAGGGATGAGAATGAAAAAAAATAATCTTGAATAAAAGTATTAATGACGGTGCCCATTTGGGGCTGTTTACCATCGGTATTATTGGTATTCTACTTTTATTGAAACAAGCCAGTCACGTCAGGTGTAGGAAAATGAAAGATACAGATAAAAAAGAAAAATCACATTTCATACTCTGTATTCATTGTTTCCTCTTTCCTTCTATTCATTTTGATACTGAAAGATACCAACAGATCTCCTAAAAACTGGACAGTGAAATTATGCTGGTTTGTAAGCTATGTTTCTTCACATAATAAGCTTAAAATGTTATTTCAGCTAGCACAGATCCACATCATTTTAATGGCTATGTGATACTACACTGTATAAAATAACGTAACTTCATGAATTTCCTGCTGAATAGACATATTACTCTCTGTGTAACGTTCTGCTATTAACAAACAGTGGTGTGTGAGCATTACTAAACCGAATGCTAGTGTGGAGTTGAGGGGGCTCAGAATTGGGACCTCTCCTCTCCACACCTGCTTCTGAGGCACCTGGGAGACAAGATAAAAAGAATCTGAGGATGTGGCTTAGGGCTACGGCCACAGTGGCTTAATAAACTAAGCACTGGACACACATGCTATTATTTCCTTAGCATCAGTTCCTAGATATGAACCCATCTATTTCTGGCTATAGAAAACAGTTATGCCTGGAAATAGGCCTGAGCTCTAAACCTTCTTTGCATGGGGTCTCAACTGGGCGAACAGAGGCACTTGCCTAGGGGCCTAAGGCCCACACGCATCACCTCCCTGTGGCTTCCCGTCTCTGACTCTGGCAGGAGCTCTGTGCCCCCATATGTCACCCTGTAGAGCCTATCACAAAGGCTCAGCAGTCTCCCGTAACGACTTTCACACACTCTAGTCTGTTTCAGAAACCATTCGGTGAGTTTAAACTGATCTAGACACATACTCAAAATCAAACACATCTCTGGTGACCTACTCAGAGGCCCAGCTCTGCACGTCCACGTCCCTACCGCCATCATTTTAAGGGAAAAGTTTCTTCCTCTCTCCTCGGGCTCCCATGAGAGATCTCTTCTCTTCAAGACAGGCCATGCCTCAGCATGAGTCCTCCTGAGGGTGCTGAGGAAGCCCCCTGACTGATGAGTGGGGCCCACGCACGCAGCCTCCCCTGCCTGCCCCTCGGGAGAGCCAGCTCCCCGTGTCAAGTGCACACTCTGCTCTCTGGCCTGGCCCTCTCGCACTGGGGCAAGCTGCTGGGCGAGGGGGCTTAAGCACTGTTACTACCAGGGCAACAGTGAAGCCACTGTTGCTGCAGACCTAAGCTGCATCCTTTGACACCTGCTATCTTGTCTCTCAGGGGGCTTGAAGCACAGGTGTAGGGAGAAGCGGTCTCAATTTGTCAGGCCCCCAGCCCCGCACGAGCTCTCCCCACAGGACCCTGTCCTTACCCAGAGAGACAATGCTCTTGTAGTTCTCCAGCATCACCTCCTTGTAGAGGTCCCTCTGAACCGGAATCAGATGCCGCCACTCTTCGTCAGTGAAAACCACGGCCACGTCGTCAAACGTCACTGACCCCTGGAAACACAGCCACATTTTCTTTTACTCAAAACCCTTTTGATGTGGACCAGGACAGAAAGTCATAAAGACAACCGTGGAGGGAGTGTGGAGGGTGGGAGGGGAATGGTTCTGACAAAGTAGGGTTTTGAAGCATTTGGGGAGAGCAGCATGATCACCCTAGGCGTGAAGTTCTTGGTCACGACCCCACACCGCCATATTTACAGCTGGCATTTGCAGGCTCTTCTTCAGACATACAGAAAGCTTGCAAGAACAGAACAAAGAATTCCCACAGAGCCTTCACTCAGCTTCCCCAGTGCTAACATTTTTCATATTTTCCTTATCTGTGTCTGCATATTCCAGAGTATACAAAAACACTGGTGGAAAATGGAATTGAAAGATAAATTTGGGTGCAAAATATTTTGAAGTCCATGCATACTTTTTTTGTAATACACATTTCCCATGAGCTCTGCAGAAGATTCCTCACATGCATGGATTTTCACAAACTATTTGAAGTATCCTCGTACATTCTCCTATCTTTTCCTGAACTTCTTCAGCCAATTGCAATATCATGTCCCTCTACTCCTAAATATTTCAGCTCATATTTTGTAAAATCAAGAACATTCTTTGGTATTATCACACTTTAATTATAAAAATCAAGAAAACAGCATTGATATTATATTACTGCTTAATCTCTGAACTTATTCAAATTGTGCCAAAATTTTTTTTAACATTTATTTATTTATTTATTTGAAAGGCAGAGTTACATAGAGGCAGATACAGAGGCAGATGGTTCAAGCCCCAAATGGCCGCAATGGCAGGAGCTAGGCCGATCTGAAGCCAGGAGCCAGGAGCTTTTTCCGGGTCTCCCACACAGGTAAAGGTCCCAAGGACTTGGGCCATCTTCTACTGCTTTCCCAGGCCATAGCAGAGAGCTGGATTGGAAGTGGAGCAACTGGGACTCGAACTGGCATCCATATGGGATGCCAGCATAGTAGGCAGTAGCTTTACGCACTACGCCACAGTGCCAGCCCACCAATCGTTTTTACTTTTATTTACTTACAAATCCTCAGGATAATGTTGTTAATTGGGTCATCTTTAGGATCCCTCTTGTTTTGCTCTAATGCTCTGTGATTCTGTAAGATTACACCTTTATCCCCGGTTCTAAAACCCCAGGTGAGTCTCTGGTTACCCACAGTTCGAGGCTGGAGCATGGCATTCACAAAAGGAACAACTTAAGTGTCCGTAGGCATAAGACTCTTCAGGGCTCCAACCTCCTTCTGGAGAGGCTACACAGTAGGTATCACATGCCCCAGCCTAACCCGCTGGGCCTAATGCCGTGTCCCAGGGGGACTTACTGAAGAATAGTCAGGACCGGAACCAACTCGCTGCCCTCCGAACCTCCCAATCAGACCCATACCATCCATTTTTAGGCAAAATACTTAGTGCCAAGGGCACATGCTGTGTGTTCCTGGTGGCAGGCTAGAGGGTGCATGCCCAAGGCAAGGACAGGGCACTGAAGGATCCCTCGAGTCAAACAGGAAGGAAGGAAACGCAGTCATTCCTCAGTGTCCCCATGGATACCAAGATCCGTGGACGCTCAAGTCCTTTATCTAAAACAGCACAGTATCTGCATATAACCCACAGACATCCTGTATCCTTCAAGTAGTCTCCAGACCCAACAGAAGTGCCATGAACACAACTGTTGTACTGTATTGTTTAGGAAGGAATGACAAGACAGGAAGCATGTACATGATCAGTACAGACAAAAACACTTTTTCCAAATATTTCCAACCCAGGGGTGGTTCAATCTACAGATGTGGAACCTGTCCGTGGCTATGGTGGCGTGACGGTGCTCTCTCGTGAGGCTTCCACCTGCCTGGCTGGATCTCATCAAAGCAGCTCCAAGAAAGAGCAACGTGGTTACCTCATGGAGACGCGTGGAACATTTCAGAAACACAGAAGTCCCCTCACCTGGCATCTGGCAGTTACAGGCGCAGCAGCCATTCCCTCCTGTGCGCTCGCTTGGTAGAAAAGGGCAGAGTCCTAAGGAGGCAGGGGTGTGGGATGAGAAAGAAGGTATGAGAATGACCAGTCCTGTTCCGTCCACGAAACTAAAACTCTCCAGTGAAATGTGCACCTGCTCCCATCCCCAATGCCCTAGGCAAAGGGCAGGCAAAGTAAAGCAGAAGCAGGAGCAGCCCTAGCCCACTCCAGAATCACAGCCAAAGGCCATGGACATTGCAAACACGGTGCCTGCCTCACCAAGACGCTGGAGGCAGAATTCACAAGCAGAGTTCACATAGTATTTATAAAGTCACATGCAGTATTGCCCTGAATGATGACGGGGCAAAAACCATCAGCAATTTTGTAAGTGACTCTATGGACAAGACAAGTGAAGTAAAACCGATAGCCATTTCATTTCAAAGGAAAAATACCCCATGCACAGCCCCTGCCAAAGAAGCAGCCCCAAGGCAGCCACATTTTGCTCCTTGCCATCTCATTCCTGGAGCCACACGGATTAGGTAACGGGTGGGCAATGCCCAGGTGAGCAGTAGACAGAGGACATGAACTAAGAAGTGTGAGGGCAACACACAGCTGCTGAGCGAAAGGACATCACAAGGTGGTTGGACCCAGGGGTGGGCAGGAGGCTTGAGGCAGACCAGAGGTTGCAAGAAAGACCCTGGGATGGACAAGATGCAGGCAAAGGGAAGAGCAGCTCAGTCACTTTAGTGAGGACGCCCGGAGACCAAGACCTAAGAGTCCCTGGTGCCGCAGCCCCTCAGCTCGCCTAGTACCAACTTCCCTCATTCAGTCCTGGATTTCCCTAAGACTCTACCCTTCCTCGGCTCATCACTCACCCCTTCACTTGAGTTGGCTGAGTGGCTGATTGTCACAATCTAGAGTCTAATTAAAGCAGCGCTGTTAAGTCAAGCACCCCTGGGATTTGCAGCAGCCTGAGATCCTGTCGCCTGGGAGGGGAAGGAAGGCGCTCCTGCAGTCAGGGGCACGTGCCACTGCTCCTGTGACTCATCCACTCATCTCTTCAACCAGGACCTCCCAGTGCCAACCACGGACGCCGAGTCAAACACTCTAAGACCCTGCTCTCGGCCTCCAGAAACTACAGGCTAGTTCACAGAACCAACATGCAAGCAGAATAGTGCTTCACTATCAGGCGGGCAGCTGCTATAAAGAGACACATCCACAGCAAACTACCAAGCGCCACGGAGGCTCACCTAACCCGGCCTAACCCGGCCTGCAGAGCGGGAGGAACACTGCACTCACTTGGCAGACGTGGGATCTAAGGGAAGTCGTGATTTGGGAGAGAGGGTGCATTCTAGGCAGGGAGAAGCTCCAGGCTTTCACAAATAAGGAAGCAAGTCTTTAGACAGAAAGAACAAATAACCAGCATCTGTTGAGAGAGGTGCAGTCCAGGCTGTGGGCAGTGCTGGGGGCAGGAGGCCAGAGAAGCAGGCAGAGCCCATCGCGTCAAGGAGCAAGGCCCCTGTCCCACAGCGCGGAGGTCACTGAAGGACTTCAGCAGGTGCGTGTCGTCATCAGACCTGTGCTTGGGAACGACCACTGTGGCTCACAGCAGGCTGTGAAACATGTCCCTGCGCTCAGCAATTCTCTCCTAGGAGCTTACGCTCGGGAAGGCAGTACATGTGCAGTGCTTTCTACTAACCGTCACCAACACTAACCTCACGGAGGGCCACGTGCCGGGCAACTTCCCCAGTACTTTACACATTATCATCTCACGTAACGCAGCAAAAATCGGAAATATTTTCAGCTTCTAAAACAGGAGATTTGGTTCACTGAGCCTGTGTTACTTACCAGGTATGCTGAGTATTTTTCACATGGATGATTTAATGCCATCCTCATAAATCAGTAAGGTAGGTACTACTCTACAGATTAGGAAATTTAGGTCTTGTGAGAGGCTGAGATAGAATTTGCATGCAGGTTGCACCCAACTTGCCTGGTGGTTTTTAACTCTCTACTATAATAAAGTACTTTCACTATAAGATAGCCACATACAGCAGACCACCAGCCTGGAGAAGAAAATCCCCACACATATCTGCACATTTAGGGAAGCTTGGTCAATGACTGGGGTATATCATAAATCATTAGGGACAAGCTCGCCACTGATCAACTGCCGACAACTCCAGTAGTCATCAACTGGATAATGACCAACTTGTGGCTTTATATTTATACAGACATATACAGATATATATATATATATATATATATATATATATATATAATGAACGTTAAGAGATTAAACCACAAAACATAATTACTGAGTAAAAAAGGTTATGTAATTACTATGACATTTATATACAATTAAAAATACATAAATACTATCTGTGAAAATCTGTACAGGATAATCAGTACCAAACTGTGAGTTTATCTGGGAAGACGTGGGACTAGACTGGGGAGGGATCCCCAGATTACTTCAGCTTTATATGTAATGTTTTCTCAAACAAAAACAAACTGAAGAAAAAGCACAAATAAATTCACAAAATACAGTACTGTGACATAATGGGTTAAGTTGCCGTGTGCCACATCGGCATCCCATATGGGCACCAATTCGAGGCTGGGCTGCTGCACTTCCAATCCAGCTCCTTGTTAATGTGTCTGGGAAAGCAGTGGAGGATGGTTCAAATGCTTGGGCTCCTGCACCCACATGGGAAAACTGGATGAAGTTCCTGGCTGCTGGCTCCGGCCTGGCCTAGCTCCAGCAGTTGTAGCCATTTGGGGAGTGAACCAGCAGATGAAGATCCATCTCTCTCTGTCTCTCCTTGTGATTGATTTTCAATAAAAATCTTTAAAAATAAATCACAAAATATTACAATAAAAATGTACAGACTTTTAAAACTACTTATTTGGACATGCACATTTGTATGGGAAAAGGAAGAATATATATTAAAATGTAAATGAAATTTGAATGGTGGTGTTTCAAGTGAAGTGATTTTTTTTTTTTTTTTTAATTTTTGACAGGCAGAGTGGATAGTGAGAGAGAGAGAGAGACAGAGAGAAAGGTCTTCCTTTTGCCGTTGGTTCACCCTCCAATGGCCGCCGCTGCAGCCGGTGCACCGCGCTGATCCGATGGCAGGAGCCAGGATCCAGGTGCTTTTCCTGGTCTCCCATGGGGTGCAGGGCCCAAGCACCTGGGCCATCCTCCACTGCACTCCCTGGCCATAGCAGAGAGCTGGCCTGGAAGAGAGGCAACCGGGACAGAATCCGGCGCCCCAACCGGGACTAGAACCCGGTGTGCCGGCGCCGCAAGGTGGAGGATTAGCCTATTGAGCCACGGCGCCGGCTCTCAAGTGATTTTTATTTTCATCTAATTTTTTATATTTTCTGATTTTTAAAAACAAACATAGGGGCTGGTGCTGTGGCACAGTGGGTGGAGCTGCCACCTGCAGTGCCAGCATCCCATATGGGCACCGGTTCGAGAACTGGTTGCTCCACTTTCGATCCAGCTCACTGCTATGGCCTGGGAAAGCAGTAGAGGATGGCTCAAGTCCTTGGGCCCCTGTACCCGCATGGGAGACCTAGAGGAAGTTCCTGGCTCCTGGCTTTGGATCGGCTCAGCTCTGGCTATTGGGGCCATCTAGAGAGTGAACCAGTGGATGGAAGACCTCTGTCTCTGCCTCTGCCTTTCTATAACTCTGGCTTTCAAATAAATGAATAAATCTTTTTTTTCCTTTAAAAAAAGCACACATATTTACTCTGGTGAACAGGAAAAAAGTAACAGGAAGAGCGGTGTGCAGAAAAGTTACAGCAGATCTGAGACTGTTACAGCAGATCTGAGACTGTTATTCCCCGCAAGGTCTGCTCGCAAGGTTGGTCTCTGGTTTCCGGAAACTTCAATTTTCCGAGGGTTCCCTCAGAGACAGGGTGATGGCTGAGCCCAGTCAATGCGCATGGCTGAGGCTGAACATCTGCCTCACTTCTGCAGGGCCTGGAATTCTGGTATGTGCTAGGCAGAGGGTGCTTTGTGACCAACTTTCAACAAAAAAACTTGGATGCTAGGTCTGTAACGGGCTTCCCCGGGCAGAAACTTTGCATACAAGTTGCTGCCTTTTTGCTGCTAGGGGAGGAGGGTGCTCTGTGTGACCCTCACGGGAAGGACAGAACACAGGCAAACCCGCACATAGATTCCTGTGTCTTTTCCCCTTCCGATCAAGCTGTGTATCCATGCAAGATCATGGTCCTCATCTTAGCCAGTAGTTCAACCATAGGCTGAGTTCCAACCTGCTGGCCAATCCCTGAATATGGGGCAATCTTGGAGACCTCAACACAGGCAGCCAAACCCCTGGGAGCAGCGGTGGTGGGATGGGATTGGAGGAGGGCATGAACGGGCTGAGCACACAAGTGAGGAGACTGTTACAATCAATTAAACTAGAAATTGAAGGGCTGAACAAAAGTAGTAGCAGCAGAAAAGAAGAACTACCATCTAGACAGTAAGAACAGGTAACAGACAGATGGGAAATGGGGGTGGAAGGTGATGGGAGGGCCAGGGTGACTCCCAGGTCACTGATCTGAGCGGCAGGGTAGATAACAACGTCATTCCCGGAGCTGAGTCACAGGGGACTCAACGGAAAACAAAGGAGGTCGGTTTTGAACACTCAGAATTTGAGCTGATCTCACATCTCTGAGTAGGAAAATGCAGGTAACTCTGCCAACTACAAGTCAAATAAAAATTATTATTGTTAAATAAAATAGGAATTTTGAAAGACTATGGGTTTCATAATCAAAATAGAAAAGTTAATATGAAGTATACACAAAAAAACTGGTAATAATACAAAGAATGTAATCTTTAGGCCTTTAATTCATACAGCTAAGTACTTTTTTCCTATTAACTATATGACTATTCATGAACATAGATCTTTTGGGATATATAAGGGGGTCTTCAAAAAATTCAAGGAAAACATGTATTAAAAAAAAAAAAAATCTAGGGCCGAGTGCTGTGGGGTAGCAGCTAAAGCCACTGTCCGCAGCACCGGCATCCCATATGGGTGCCGGTTCAAATCCCAGCTACTCCACTTCCAATCCAGCTACCTGCTAATGCGCCTGGGAAAGAAGCGGAAGACGGCCCAAGTCCTTGGGCCTCTGCACCCATGTGGGAGACCCAGAAGAAGCTTTTGGCTTCAGCTTGGCCCAGCTCTGGCCATTGCGGTCATTTGGGAAGTGAACCAGTGGATGGAAGATCTTGTTCTCAGTCTCTGCCTCCCTCCCTCTCTGTAACTCTGCCTTTCAAATAAATAAATCTTTTTTAAAAAAAAAAAAAAGAAAGGAAAAAGTATGCATTGATTTCAAAATTTTTTGCATCAAAATAATTTCATTTTCTATGAACTTTTCCCAGTGCCCTCATAGGCTTGTATCCATTCATACAAGTGTGAAAAGGAAATCCAGGGAATGGAGATAAGGCAAGTATTCTAGAAACAGGCACTAAGTATCCTACACCAGCCACATCAGGCAGAAAGCTGTTCTAACAATGAGCCAACCTGCTCCTAGAGAAAAGACCCTAATCCGGCAAACTTTTAAAAAATGCTAAAAGGGGAGCTGGCATTGTGGTACCCCAGGCTGAGCTGTTGCCTCTGACATCCCACAAAAGCACAGGCAGGAGTCCAGGATGCTCCACTTCCAATCCAGTTCTCTGCTTATGCGCCTGGGAAAGCAGAAGACAGCCCAAGTGCTTGGGTCCCTGTCACCTATGTGGGAGACCTGGGTGGAGTTCCAGGCTCCTGGCTTCCACTTGGTCCAGCCTGGTCATTGCAATCATTTAGGGAGTGAACCAGAAAATGGAAAATCTTTGTCCCTGTCTCTCTGTAATTCTTACAAATAAAAATAAATAAATCTTTTTTTTTTTTTTGACAGGCAGAGTGGACAGTGAGAGAGAGACAGAGAGAAAGGTCTTCCTTTGCCATTGGTTCACCCTCCAATGGCCACTGTGGCCGGTGCACTGCGGCCGGCGCAGTGCGCTGATCCGAAGGCAGGAGCCAGGTGCTTCTCCTGGTCTCCCATGCGGGTGCAGGGCCCAAGCCATCCTCCACTGCATTCCCGGGCCATATGGAAGAGGGGCAACCAGGACTAGAACCTGGTGTGCCGGCACAGCAGGCGGAAGATTAGCCTATTGAGCTACAGCACCGGCCATAAATAAATCCTTTTTAAAAAACAAAGACCAGATCACAATATAATTACTGGTTTGACAACTTTTAACTCTATTGGTCTATTACCTGTGGGGCTATCTTTTCACAGAAATCAATCTTTTTTGCATTGAGTTAAAAGTTGCCAGACATTCCCATTTCATAACACTGGCCAAGCAAAACCTCAAAGACCCTGAGGGCGAACACTTTGCAAAAACTAAAACCTGTGTGAAAGGCAAAAACTAAAGAAAAAAAATCCAACAGGAAAAACAAGTTTAGTATGAGTATTTAAAAACAAACAACTCAATCTGAGGAGGACAGAGCAGGGTTTGAATCTTGCTGGGAAGAGACAGAGTAATGCACACACAAATAGAAACAAAGATCTCAACAAAACTGACAACCAGGGCCTGCACCCTGTACTGCCTAGGACATTGCTGCTTTCCATTTTGATCTGTTAAGCTTCCTCCATCCCAGGAAATTTTACTCTCGGGCCCTAGAAAGACCTCAAAATTAATACTTAGAGATACAGGAGGGCATAGTCATTAAGACCCAGGCTCTGCAGCCAGACTGCCTGAAATAAAAATCCAGCTGTCTCTTCATACCTGTTTAGCAATGTTCCTTAACCTGTCTCAGTGTGCCCAACTGCAAAATCAGAATAAGAGTGCCTATCTCGTGTATTTATCCTGATGTTTAAATAGGATGATACACATAAAGCATTTAGAATAATGTGCTGAGTAAGCGTTAGGATCAGCTAAAAGTAATGTTATTATCCCACGCAGGTAGAAATAATGAAAATAATTAATTAAACAGCATTGTTGTTGGGGCCAGCACTGTGGCACAGTGGGCTAAAGCCCCAGCCTGCAGCATCAGCATCCCAAATGGGTACTGGTTCAAGTCCTGGCTGTTTCAATTCTGATCCAGCTCCCTGCTAATGCACCTGGGAAAGCAGTGGAGGATGGCCCAAATTCTTGGGCCCCTGCACCCATGATAGAGATCCAGAAGAAACTCCTGGCTCCTAGCTTTGGATTGGCTCAGCTCCAGCCATTGTGGCCATTTGGGGAGTGAACCAGTGG